AATATTTTTTATAATATTTAATAATATTTTTAAAAGAGAAAATATAGAATCCTCTATCTTGAGGCTACACTTTAAACTTGCTTAGACATAGAAAGTTCAGCCACAGTAACTAGTAACTCTGATCAAACTAGTTAATTCAAACACTGACCTGCTAAATGTAGTGGTGTTGAATGCCGTCCTTGCGTGTCCCGACAGTTGACATTGTCAGGTGAACACAGCTTTTTCACTCGGGCCAAGCAACCTTTCTTTGCAGCATCTAGTAGAGCTGCATCTCCTCTAAGTAGGTCCTGTATATCAGTATCACCATCTTTAACAAGGTCTAGAGGAGTATTTCCATCTCTGTTTTTCTTTGTAGGGTCAGCTCCATGCTGTGCACATCAAAAACAGGTGGTAAGTATGCAAGTAGAGTAAACACGTTGCATCTTAGGCATCTTATGCCTTATTGAGCAAATATTCCGACACATAATTGAGTCCTTCAGAGAGAGCCTTCCATTTACTGTGTGAGAAAGGATAACATAGTTGCTAATAGAATCATTTTTACTGAAAACATACAGTTAACTACAATCATTCAGAAACCACAAAACACAAATCAATTTGTTGAAGTTTCAGACTAAACAAAAAAGAAGAAAGTAACCTGTCTCCAGCATACGTAATACCTGCAACAGGAGTTTGCAAATCTCGTATTTTCCTTTTGCTGCAGCTTCATGCAAGGGAGTGAATTTCCACAAGTCAGCTACATTGACAACTGCACCATGTTTAACCAGCAGTTCTGCAACTTCATAATGACCATATGAGCAAGCATTATGTAAAGGGACAAGTCCTCTGGAAACAATTAAAAAAAAAGAGAAAAATTCTCTTTAAAAATCGGGTCTTTTTTCACAGCGTGATACAAACTTAAACCACAACGCACCTTCAACAATCAAACCATAACAAAACTTTTTTTTTTTTAAATTTTCCACAGTAGTCTGATATAGTAGGAATATCTACTGCCAAAGTGGTAAAAATGCAATCAGCAGTGGCACTGAAGAGAAGTAAAAACACGGGGCCAGAGAAATCCTTGATGGTCTAGTCTCAAGTACTGCAAAATGTTTTTGTGGATATTCTAAACAGCTCCATGCTAACAGAACTTTCCATGAAAATAAAAAAAATTAATGTTTAAAGAAAGATGGGATGCTTATCAGCTAGCAATATGTAAGAGCTGACAGACATCAGCAATTATAATTGCCAAGAAAATACACATTTGAGTATTTACCCCTTATCTTTTGCATGCACATCAGCTCCATGCTGAAGAAGATACTCAACAACGGATACTCTGTTATATCCAGCTGCAAAATGAAGTGGTGTAGACTGACGTCCTTCTATATCTCTGCAGTTCACACTTTGAACTGTACATAGTTTCTGTGAAATCCCCAAAACAAAATATCCGCCATTATATATAGTGTTGGCACAGTTTTCATTTAGTCATAAAATTTTGTTATACACATCTAATATTTTGAAAAATTGTTTTCATTAAAAAGAAAGTTTATTTATTAATTTATTTTTACATAAATCCTTTAGTTTTCACAGATTGCATCCCAAGGAAAAAAAATATTAAATACTCCCTCCTCCCAAATCCACACCTGTGACTTCTTATTTACACTTTTTACAGAAGACAAACTTCTGGAGGTGGTGAACATTACATTTTGTAATCTGTAATATTTGTGCAATACAAAGGTTTAGGACAGGGATCACAACTCTAAAGCAGTTAGTGAAGGGCTGTTTGATTGCTTGTTTTGAGAAATTATAGTTTGGGATATAGTTCTCTCTTATTTTTAGGACAGGTTTAAGCTTACTTTTACAGTATCCACATCTCCAGCCTTTGCAGCCTCCAGCAACTGTCGATCTGCATCGGAATTACCTAATGGGATACCTTCTGCAAAATATACGAGGTTGCATGACAGATAAGCATATGTAGTTGGAGGAATTTGTTAAGACAGGAAATCATCTGAGTCTTTCAAGGACTTCCCTTAGAAAAAGTTAACCAATTATAAACAAGTTTTGTCTTTTCTTACTATCTACAACTACAGCTATTATCTCTAAAGGTGTTAGCAAAAAGCTGCCTTTAGCAACATGCTTCCTATCCATTTTGAAGTACTGTGGAACCAACTAAACATTCTTATTTCAATTTCAGAATTAGATTGTATCAAGAAGCCTACCTATATGTATAATGTCCAAACCTTACTCTTGAAAATACATGTACCCTGTTGCCTCTGCTCACAAATGCAGAGCAGCTGTTTTTTGCTTTTGAAACTCATTTTCTACTTACAAGATATCCCTGTCCCTGCTCTCCCCACCCCCCGGTCAGGATTTTTCCAAAATTATTCCAGGTGGCTCTATCATGAAACATTCTGAGCATCTCTGACAACCTGTGTAGCTGAATACTAGAAAGCAAATGATATTGTTAACTCCACCTAGAGCAGGCACTCTCCCTGTGCACGTGGTTATGAAATAAGAACTGCACAACTCAGTACTGTCTTTTGTAGAAAGCACCTTTGTTTTTTCCCCTGCACTTGTGTTCACTCTTATTTCTTGACAGCACTTGAAATGGCAAGTAAAACGGAGTACCACATTACTTGTGAAGTGGATCTTGAATAAATCAGTTGTACCTTGTAGTAGCTGTTGCACACTTTCAGTCCCCATTTGCAAGGCTGTAAAGCCCTGCAGAGACACAATGGAAGGATCACATCCAGAGCTAAGCAGCAACCTGCATGTCTGAAGATGACCGCAATGTGCTGCTCTATGAAGAGAGGTCTGGCCAAGATTATCTAATGCATTAACCTAAAGATAACACAGAAAGGAATACCATCATCAAAACTTAATATTAAAGCTGTTTTCACTGCTGACTGGGAGAGTTTCACAAATATTCTTATTTCTTTAAGAACATATTCAGCATATTTGCAAAGATTTCAAAAGATAAAATTTAAACTAAAGTAGTTAATAAAGTTATAACTACATTTACTGAGGAAGAATAGCCCCCTTTTAGAGCCACATGAATAATCCAGCGTAAACAGTTACAGCAATTTTTCCACATACAGAAGTAGGCCATTATCTTGCTCACGACAGCACAAATCCTCAGAGCCAACATATAGAACAGCTTTTACCTACAATGGCTTATTGTGGTTTTTCAGACTGAGAACTTTCTATTTGTTTCAGTCCAGGTGTATTTAACAATTTAAAACTCTCCACCCAAAGGCTACTTGTACTCCCTACTGTTCCTCTGGTTTTGACCATTGCTTTGGAAACTTCACAGCAGTCAGGCTGTAATCAAATTTCCACGAGAGAGATATTCAACTCCGAGTTTTGGAGGATTCAAACATTACAGAGATTACTTTCCTTCCACTTTCTCTTTTCTGTGGAAATTTGAACTAAACACTAACCTTTTGCCTTCACTCTCATTTTTACTGCAGACAACATCACATTAAGTTTGCCTGTTTTACAGTACAGTCTAGCTTCTTGTTGTTTGTATATATCCCCTGCTTTTTTTTTTTAAGCATTTCCTAGACAATGAGGCGCCGGATAAGACACTCTACAAGCTTTCAGTTAACAGTGAGAAGACTTGCACTTCTTATAAAATAGGACGAAAACATTGATGATGCTTCAATGTATAGGGCTGTACTGATGGACTGATGGCCTATGTCTTAAGTGTATAAATCTACAACCTTGCAAAATGAATTATTTTAGAAAAGTCTGTCTACTCAGCTGTCTATTCTCATGCTATGAAAACCTATATAGCAGGCAAACCTCAACATAAAAAAGTATGAATAGTAACTCATACCTTGGCTTCATGTTTCACAACTACTTCAACAACATCATTATGAGCCTTTTCTGATGCCACATGCCGAGGAGTCAAGAAGCTTTAAAAAAAAAAAAAAGAAATAAAAGAATAATTCAAAATGTGTTTTGCAAAATCTTCTAAACAAACACTTAGGAGTATTCATTTGTAACCACTTACTCTTTTGTTTTTTCATTGATGTTGGCTCCTTTCCTCAGCAGCAATTCACACACTTGTTTTCTCTTAGGATATGGAGATGCAGCAGCACAGTGCTGAGAACATTAAAAATTGTAGCATTAACAACCAGCTAGCAATATGCAGGTTTTCCTGCTTGCTGATCAGCTGGAAGTTAAGAGCTGGTTGTGTGCAAAGTCAACAGAAAAAAAACCCAACAAATCATGTAGAAGCTTATTAATTTGGGAGATTCCACATGGGCTTTTGGATTTAATCTGGTATTTTCCAGAGCTCCATCTCCAGTAATTGCTGGAAACCTTCAAGCTTTACAAACAAAGCTAACATAGGTAGCTTGCTGTTGCTTAAAACTAGAATATTGTACAGAAAAACAGTTATTTAGACAACCTAAATTAAGCAGGCAACTTATATTAGTCTTAACATTGACCTTAAGAACAGAATATTAATCAATGTTATTTGTTTAACTAGAGGCTGGATATTTCAAGGTTGGTCTGAATTGCACTGACACTGAAATTTTTCATTGTAAGCTATTACCTAGTATGTACTGCAATACATGCAAATATTTAATAAATCCTGAGATATTACCAATGCTGTCTCATGTGTTTGAGGATGCTTGAAGTTCACTGTCTCCAAAGAAAGATGTTTCTTTATACGAGCTACATCTGATTCTCTTGCAGCCTGTAGGAGTGAGTGACCTTTGAATTCATCTTTAAAAAGAAATAAATACATACCAGAAGGTTACACTCCTTAACTCAACAAGGATCAATAGGTTTCTTTCAGTTAGATAAAAATATTCATTTTATTCAGCAGACCATGGTTCAGACATTTCCCACTCAGACTTAAGCTTTTACATCACTTGACAGAACTTGTTAGCTAAGTCAAAACACTACAGGAATGTGCTTTGCTTCTAAATCAAAGCCTGAGACATCCAAACTGGCTGAACAAGATCTATTTCACTCCCCACTGTTCTAGGTTCCACTCTTTGCATATGTACCAATTCAAGCATATATAAATCTCTACTTCTGATATGTCTTTGGAAAACGATTTCTAGATGCTAACATGAAATCTAATGTAGTATTTACCAATAATTTTTGTACATATCTGAGAAAGTTATTGTTTGACCACTGAAGGACAGAATTTGAGGGCATTCCTTTCAGCTCCTTAAGTTTGCTGGACAAAAATAAATTCCTTTGAACTTTCTGTGATTGTGGCATACTCAAACATATTCAGCATTCTAAACAACTACGTTTTTTCTTTTCTTCAAACAAAACAGTGGAATAAAAATGAATATTTCAACAGCCTTGATGCGATGACAGGAGCAAGTACAGAAAATGAAAACGTACTGGCAAGGTCGTGAGGGAAAGCATGTATTCAGGGAAGAAAAGCTACAAAACCCATCACAACCACATGACCATAAAACTGACAATAAAATTATTTTAAATGCCTACATTCAGAAAATATAGCAATCTCGAATTATAAACAGTGAAATGTACTGTCCAACATTGCACAACTGCTTGGAAAGTGCACGCATTTTCCAAACCTGATTTTTGGCAGGTCACTGTCTAGGGAACCTAAGTACACATTACTATCCACAACTGTAGAAATTATCTCACTTTATACTCACATGCTAATCGTTCTTTTAATTGGGGTGTTGGAGCCAAATCAATGGTGCTTTTGTTGTGACAGTTCAACAGCGTTGGGTCAGCACCATAACTTAACAAAAGAGAACATACTTCCACCCTGTTCTTGGAAGCCGCTTCATGCAGAGGAGTGAATTGCCACAGATCCATTGCATTCACACATGCTCCATGCTTGAAAGAGAAAGGCGTAAAAAAGATACAACAACAAAACCAGATCATTAGAAAAAGACTTCTGTCACTAGTTTCAATGCAGTAGACTGTTAAAATAAAAAACCAATGCTGTATGCAAACTGTATTGAAGATATTCTCCAGACATTCATTTTCAGTATAACACAACATTTCAGCACATTGCAGTTTTTAATCCTCTAGTGTCTCACAGGTACATTCAAAGACAGCAAAGGCAGGCTAGTCTCTTCAGGCTTTCTCCAGCATCTCTAAAAGGAGAGTAGGTCTGCCACAGGTCAAATTGGAGAAACAGCCTAATTCATACACTCTAAATCACCTTTGAACAAGCTCCTGTTTCTTGTTGCTCTAGAAAAAGTCTAGAGTGAACAGTTGCACTAGGATAAATACATGTTCTCTGAATATCCTCCAAGGTATGAATACCAAGATATCTTGAAGGAGATTGGCACTCGAAGTTGACTTCAATTCAAAACATTCATGTACAAGGTTCTGCAAGTAATACTCTTGGGTGTTTAATATTTATGTAATTCTCCTCCAGTAACATTCTGTATACACCTTGAGTTCTGTCTGTAAGCAAGTCTGATAGAACATGCTCTTTCCCATTGCTCCTGTTAAAGCTGCAGCGTTTTGCAAAAAATAATTCAAGATTCACTGGAGTAGAAATCCAACAGGGAATACCACTCTAGCTTAACTGTTAAGACACACAGTAGTGTCTAGACAAGATGGGGTTTTTTTTTGGTCTAGCACCACAATTGTAAAGATTCACTTTACAATTGTTTGCTGAAGTAAAAAAAAAAAAGTCTTGACTACTTATACTTAAAAAAATATATGCTTATTTCAATAATTTTTTTACTTAATTTTTGCTAAACAAACTAGTGGGAACTGAGTCATACAGGATAGAACAACAGTAGCTATTCCCCAACCATCCAAACATCTAGAGTTATCTAACAGAACGCTCCCAGCTGTTATAATGATCATGATTTGCTGTAGCAGCTGAGAACGGTCACAGTTCAAAACTCCCTTGGTGGACAACACTCACAGATTTTTGCAGGCCACATCTTCAAGCCACCAGTTAATGTGCATTATACTTTATCTTCAAGATTAACTAATCCAAATAAACCACTTCATGTTAGGAAAATGGACACATTTTTCTTTCTTTGGGGTGAACACTACAATTCAGGGCCAGAACTGATGTTGTAAAGTTCATTCCCTCAAGAGACTGAGTACTCTTTCATGTCAAAACATTTACGATCTTTACCAGTATTCTTTTCAAAAACTTCTTAATACTCTGTCTGCTGAAATACTGTTCTATTGTCAAACTCACAATATTGCTCGGTTTTTATGGGTTTTTTTGTAGTTTTTTTTGGGTGAGGGTGGGAAGGCTGAGATAAGAAGTACTTACCTGGTCGTACAAAAACATTCATCTTTGGAGCAGAGAGACTTAAAAATACAAAGCACATTTATAAGGAAAGAGCTTCCCTGCAAGCAGAAGATTCTGTAGCTCCAGCTTAATAATCACTAACATGCAGAGCAAAAGCAATCTATGATTCTTTAAGTTTAGTAAATCCAAGTACAAAATAAAAAAATACGCAACTCGTATTAGTCTATTACAAACTGTTCTTATTTAATAATATGCAATTTAATTTTTTCAAAGACCAACCTTTACTAGAAGCTCTGTTACTTCATAATGACCATAGGAACAGGCATTGTGAAGTGGCACCAAATCTCTATATAGGAGAGAAAGGGGGATGATGATTATCTTAGTATGCATATTTCAATTCCAAATGCATCTATAACATTGCAAATGGTACTATGTTGCACCTTGAACATTTTACAAACATAGTATCAGAGATGTTCAAATGAAGTTAAGGAGAAATAAGAAGCTGGAGAAGAACCCAGAAAATCCCATCAGCGTGTTTCAGAATAATAAATGTTTAAAATAATCAGAAGATGACAAATTAATTGCACTGTCTTACTGCAAATGAAATGGCTCCACTCAGACTCTGAACCCTGAGCAGGAAGAGTTCCCCCTGAAATCTGCAGGGGATTTGCAGGAGTGACAGTAATTATTTCCTTTTTCACAAGAACATTGCTGTAAAATTATCTTTTCTCCTGGAAAGTAAAGAAGTCTTGCTGGCTAAAGTTTAAGTAACTGTACAATATCCTGTCAACTGTTACTGATAGCAGAGCTACAGAGGTTTTAAAGCCAGCCTCATACTCTTTCAAACCCAGTGGTCCTAGGGGCAAGTGAGAAATTGCCCAAAGTGAATTCTTTCGTGGTGGGTTAGTAAGGGAGAAATGACAAAAATGAATTCCAACCCCCAGGTGACAATTAAAGCTGTCTGATCACGCAGCTATTTATGTAGCTGTGAAGTGATCCTAGGAAAAAAAGAGGATTAAGAGTTTGCTTTTCATAATCTTTAATGTACATAAATACACATTTATAAAAAGGTTTTTCATTATATTTTATATAAATGGACTTAGCATGTCTGTATTTCACTACCTTGCCTGACATAACCAAATGCTTGAAAAATGCAGTCCAAATAAAAGCTCTGTGAAACAGATCTTTGATTTTTACCGCATTCTTTCAAAAAAAAAAACCCAAAACCGCAGAAACTTAAAAGTAGAAAGAAAATTAAGATTGATTCAATCATTGAAACATTCACACATATGAGTATGTTTTATTAAACAAGAGATAATAATTTGGGTAGCGATACCTAAAAGGCAGCATGTTCTACGGTCACCTCAATTTGGATTCTACTGATCCACAAGTCTTAAGGCTGTACACTTTACATTTTTGTCACAACAGAAAAGTTAGATGGCGTTAACTGTCTCAAGTTAAAACATCTTCAAGGTTAAAAATTACTATTCTTTACTTCATCTCAATTTTTAAGAAATTCTGTTTATTCTGAATGAAGGGAAAATTAACCTACCCTTTATCCTTAGCATGTACGTCAGCCCCATGTTGCAGTAAGAGCTGCACTATTTTTACACGGTTATACCCAGCTGCTAAATGTAAAGGGGTAGACTGAAATGACAGAACGTAGAAGTAATCAGTAACACAAAATCAAGGGTTCATTTTATATATTATTTTTGCAAAACTTGTTAACGTACTAATTACTGAAGTGCTTAAAATACTTGCAATATTAAAAAAAACCCATACAGTGCTTGAATCAGACATTTGATAACTATGTTCATTGTTTACTGACTACTTTCAGAGTCACCAAACACAAATCCTGAATTTACTCTGTAACTAATACATTCTGGCAATAAAGACCCTTTTAATGGATTTTTTGAGTTCTGCAGTCCACTTTTGTCTTTTAGCCTACCATAACTATAAATAGTTTGCTGGGACAAACTACATCCCTTTTGAAAGCGGAAATAAGATGGCCATTAGGAACAACAGCTGCTAAATTATAAAGAGGTGTCCCTGCCAATCAATAGATTAAGTTTAGAAATTATCAACAGAGATTGTTATCCACATCTGTGAGTGCAGTAAGTTAGTGGGGCGTGGGGGAAACAATCCTCTCTTCTAAATTCTCACCCTCCACAGAGCAGTTGCGTAACCGCTCTATAACCTTTTCTAGCAAACCCACTCAAGCACACCCATCAGCAGCACCAAGGGCAGAGCTACAAATTAGCAAAGAGAAATCTTGTCCTCTTCATTTATGAACCCATCAACTGCACTGGGTTTGTACAGTTCCTAGAGGATGAGTCTCATAACTAGATGAGACAACAGAGATGCATAGGTGTTTTACAGATCCCCATATCTTACCACATAGCCTCAAACAGGGAAACTCATTTGAACAAAACTTAAGCGAATGAGTACATAAACTTAATGAGAACAATGAGGATGCCAAAAATTGATACCCAATAATCTGAACCTTCGGTAAGCTTGGGGCGGAAATCAGGAGACTATCGGGATTTTTCAGAATGGAGATTTTGAACATTTTTCATACAGTTCTTCACCAATATTTATAGTAATGAATAGCTTGTTCCTGAAACAGCAGCAGTAACTTGCCTAAGGTGTATGGTAAATAAGAGGCCTGTGCTTATCTCTTTGTGATAGTGACAAGAATCTATGAAAAAGCCTCCCTTTTTTAATCACTGCAGATATGAAGGTCAAGCAGAAGTTCCAACTGAGAAGGTGTGTGTTTATTGCTCCTAGATGGAAATACCTATGTAGTCCTTTTAATGTTAAAAAACAACGAGAAAAAAATCAGCTAACTGCTAGAGGGATACAATCTTATTTTCCCACATATATTGAAGAAAATATATAGATTCTAGGCTTAATCTTAAAATCTGGTCAAACGATAACTGTGAAATATGTAAGAGTGAACTAATTTAAAATCAGTTTTTAAACAAAAATACCTTTCTGCCATCACTTGCATGACAGTTAACATTTAATGGTGTAAGAAGAGACATCATCTTTTCTTCATTTCCACTCCTGAAAAACAAGATATAAAATGAGCAGAATTCTTTTTAAAAGTTTTTAGTAGCTTAATATGTTTTTATATTTTTCCTTGCTATAATGTTGAGCAGATCTGCTCTGAAGTAATAGATTCACTACTGTATTGGAAAGGGAAAGCAAAAATGCATTTATATAACTATTTTTGTAGCTTTATTCACAGATAACAACCAAAGCTTAGCATCTAGATGGAATGCCAGCTCAAAAGCCAATACATATATATTCATTACACACAATTCTGAAAATATAACTAAATTCCAGGTATTTTTCCAAACATGCATACCTGGCACTTTCTAAGAGTTCATCTTTCTTGTATTCACCTGGAAGACAAAGGGAAGTTTCTTTAGTTGTTAAACAAATATCTCTATATAATGAAGTTCACTACTTATCCTCCTCTTCCAAAATTTTAGAGGAGTTCTAAATATTTCACAGTCCGTTACTGGACTAGCACAGTTAACTATCTAGAATATGTCTCTTGACTGAGATGATGAAGGCCATATGGGAATTTCTACTTAGAATTATAAAACAGAGAAGTTAAAGTAATATCAGAAACACAAAACCCAAAATACTATATTACATTCATTTGAATGTTATTAGTCATAACATAATCTAAAGATTATCACTTACCAGTCAGCACTGCTTTTGCAGATGGGTCTGCTAAATCCAAAGCTGTTCTTCCATCTGTGTTCCGGATGGTTGGTTCAGCACCATGCTGCAGCAGTACTACAAAATGGCCAAGTTTTACGTGAGAAAACAGATCGATGATAAGACTTACAAGATGTGTCATTACTTGAAGCCGCAAGCAACAAAAGACATATCCCATTTACTGATCCTAATATCTCCTCTCCAATTTTTAATGTCAGAATTCCTTAATGTCAACGTGAACAGTTTAACTAATGAAACACGCCTAGACACATTTTATGAGAAAAAAGCAGAGCAGAAATGGAACAACTGCAGACTGGCAGGAGGCAATCTCAGTTGAAAGGCTGTGACTGACACCACAAAAACCAGCAGCTACTTCACATCAGCTCCAAAGCATGCTGCCTCAAATCCACCAGTGACTATGCCGTAAACTGTACACAGCAGTAGCAGGCCATGCATCTTGCACTCATATTGGGGCCCAACAGGCAATGTTATATATACAACTCTCCAGATGTGTGGTTTGCTCTCTTTTACTTTATTAAGGAACACAATCAAAAAAATTAAGTTTCTTGACCACATATCTAACCTTCTACCTCTTCCTAGCTCTGAAGAACTGCGTAGGCAAAACAAGTGGTCAATATAATTGAAGTTTAGCCCCTATCCTTAACTAATTTAACATTGCTGTTATACAGAGACAGAATGAATCCACTATTAAAACCAGTTTTGTTCTTTCCACTGCGCTGTGAGTAGCAGCAGAGGGCAGCATAAGAGTCCACGCTGAAGCAGAAGAGAATCTACCTCCATCACATCACTCTAAAGCTCTTTCCCCAAGATGTTAATGTGAACCTTTATACTCAGGCAATTATAAAACACAAATCTAAAAACTTGTTTCTTATAAAACTGGCATATGAATTTAAGTTTATGAAAGATTTTTAGGTTTAATCCTTATACCAGCCATAGCTTCATAGAATAAAATGTCTTTAAAAGGTTCATGATTTTTCACAGTGAAAAGAAATGACTCAGTCACAGGAAGAGTGGGAGAAAATTACCAATGCAGACATCTGTCTTGCCCTTAATGGCAGCTTCATGAAGGGGAGTGTAATTCCAATTATCCCGAGCATTAGGATCTGCACCATGCCGCAAGAGAAGATTGACAACTTCAGCATGACCAAAAGAGCAAGCGTTGTGAAGAGGAATAAGGCCTCCATCATCTCGTGCATGGACATTGGCACCACTTTGAAGTAAATATTCGACTACATCCTTCCGACCAAAACCTGGAAGAGATAAAGGGAGAAAGGATGTCAGAGTGGGATAAGAGAATTCCCTGTCCCAAATACACAGATTAAAACAACAAACTTAAATAACAGTAACCACCCTAAATAACAATCACAACTGGCATTCTTTACTAAAGGAGCATTCATATATTAAGGTTATTTTTGAAAACCCTATAAATTAGATTAAAATCAGTAGAAAAATAATATTCAAGATTACTGAAACAATTAATATCTTGATAGGGCTCCCATGAGTCAATAGCTTCTTGAAAACTTATAATAAAAACAAAAAAACACTGACAACAAAAGCTCTTTTTCGGTCATTTTATATGGCTATTAAACCGAACAATACTTTGTACGATACTCTGCCAACCCATAGTCAGTTTGTGGATGCACCAATTGATGAGCCCTGGGAGCAGTAACGATGAGATTGGCTACAAGCCATGCATGTACAGGTCTTATTCTAAGCTTTTGAAAAAGATTCATGTAACATGAAAAGTATTTTATACAAACATGTTGCTTGCTTTTTTTTAAAAAAAGAAAGTAAGTAGCACCGCTCAGGTTAAAACTGGAAGCATGGCTACTTGTTTTCTAAGGAATAATTAACATAATGTGCACACATTTTCTATCTTTGAAACCCTTAGGGGCATAAGAAGTTTATCTGAGACGATTCTCCACTGAAGAAATTTATTATGAGAGTATGCACAACCATAATTTAAAGATATTAATAATGTCTATTTTCAGTTATGCCTAAAACGATTATAAATATTCGATCATGACTGAAGCACAAAAATGCTCTTACACATTGTAAGGCATTTTTTAACAAACCTGTCATTCAAGTTAGTAGACAAAAAAATATGCCCACTTGCACATTTGGGGCTAGAAACATAAAATAAAAGCAATTGCTCTTATAAGCCAATTCATAGCCACCATTGTTTAGTTACAGCTGCATCTTGCACATTTACATAACAGCAAATAAACCAGAACATCAAACTACCTATGTTTTCTCTAATATCTTCACAAGAGGCTAGAATGACTTAGGACTTCTGCTTGTAGCCACTATCTGGTTATGTTCCAAAGGCCACTGCCTACAGAAATCCCTCAAAGGTTTCATGAACGTCTCTTTGGGTCTCGGGGATTATTAGGGCAGGTAAGAGCCATATTTTGGTATGTATCAGACTTGTGCCAAGTACCTTCTGGGAAATACCCTGTGTATGCGGGACTTGGCCTTCCTTGCTTTAAACATCTGAATTGCAAACTGTTTTCCTGAAGAGATGAAGAACTGGGTGGGGATGAAGTCTTGAGCTTTTCCCTCAGACTGAATCATCACACAGTTGCCAACACCAGAGATACTCAGATTGTAGCAAATTTAAACTTTGTTACAAATCATTCATGGAGGGTAGGCAGGTGTAAGTCCCTGCAACCATAACCTAGAAACCATGGTTATTCCTGATAACCACACAGCATTTCGGGGACAAAGTCACAGAAACATATGAGAAGTGACAGCATCTTAGTTACAACTTAACTTTTTTGTCTTAGTTTAGTTGCAACTCAACTTTTTAATAGCATGTTCTTCACTAAACCTGACAAATCTTTCTCTCAGACTGACAGCAACTGAAATCCTGGAGCAAGAATCACTTTCACCTTCACAATTGGAAGCTCAAAACCCAAACATATCCATTATTAAGCAATTTCTGGATCCTACTTGCTGAGAGGAGATCTCATGTACAAGCTGTATATGCCAAAGAAAGAGAGGCCAGGAAAGGCATTCAGAAAAGCCATTGTTAAATTCTATCTTTCCTCCTCTTCCCTCCAAAGTGTGGTAAGGGACCACATTCCCCACAGATTTCTGGTTATTCTAAAAATGATTTTACGTGAAACTTTTTAATCCCAGAATGAAAGGTATTTTCAAGTAACAAGACTATACTGGTGATGTGCTTAAATTCTTCAAAATACATTACGAATACTGCAAATCTTAAGCTTGCTAGCACCTTGACTTCGACAGAACCGCATACTGCACAGTAAATCCACTTTTGAGTCTCAACATTCCAGTTACCCATCTTATAACTAACAGAAGGCACCTTGCCTGTCCTAACAGAGAGCAGAAGCTCAGCACACTTGAAATGAGAACTGGATCAGACCTACGGTCCATGCAAAACCAATGTATCTGCACAGGCACAGTAAGCTATATTCACTGTTCATACATGCACATTTCTGCTGCCAAAAAACTCCCAGGACCTACACAATGTATATCCATGCAGCCACGTTGTCTATATAGTAAGTTATATGCAGCATATTTCTCATTCTTAAATTTAGCTTTTATGACCAGATATTATAAATATTGTTATTTTTCCTAAATGTGAACTCCTGAATTTTTCTTACATCTTCAGAATTTCTAAAAATTCTGTTTCTAGTTTGAATTTGCTAAATTCTTCAAGGATCTATTCAGATAAAACTTTTCAGAAGTGCCAGAGTCCTGCAAACACATCATCAAAGCTGCTACTTGATGACAGACTACTTGGTATCTTCTTTCAATACAAAAAGTGTTTTCCAGAACTGCTTTAATTATGTTAGAAAAGCCTCTGATCAAATTCTCTGTCCAGAAGTTACACGTCTGGTAGGTAAACACCACTTATTCTTGTACAGAAGGCATTTCTGTCCCTCAAAGCTTTGATGTATAGCCATGTTTTTGAATGCCCACCTTAGCAGGAATCAATACCATAATTGAAAATCAGATGTAGTAAATCTCATTACAGACATAGAGAATTCACATGGATGCCCTCTATTTAGTACACAGGTTCAATCAGATACAGTGCATGAGCAACCCACAGCTTATCTCTGTGCAAAGCCTGCATCCATTCGGAAAATACCCTAAGTATAGCTACACGCCTGAACTACCTATAGTTATTTTAATGTTCAGATGGGCCCATTTGCATCACACCAATTTTTGTAACTTCTCTTCAGCACTCAGCACCCAGCAGGGATTCCTTACTTTCTCGTGGAAGCATCTGTATAAGAGGGCACCGTATATGGGAAAAGAAATATTTTCTCATCGTTGTCTAAAGGATGTATGCCTACAGAGGAGGTGGCCAAACTCTTTATTACGGTCTCTCCCTCCTCTCTCTCATTTTCACTGAGAGCACAAAGAGGAGACAGCTTTTGCTGACACAGGGAAGGGAGCTGTATTACCTACTGTAATAGTTCCTCTTTGCAGTCCACTGCTGCAATTTCAACACTTAAAAACCTCCAACATTGTCATTTTTAAGGGGGGGGTGGTGTTTGGCTCTTGAGCTTCTATCAAAAGACCAACTAAACGGTATTGCAGCTTGCAACTGTGCGACATAACTGTCTCGTCATCACGAACACTTTAGTTCTATTGCAAAGTAGAAGGGCTAATCAGGGCCTCCAGGTGACACTCTTCTACCATCTATGACAGCTAAGTAGGTCACTGTACTTGTTCCCAGAAAAATTACAAACTTTTAGCTGACAAAACCTGAATATTAATCACAATAGAAGCTTGTAACCGTATTTAATAAAAAAAAAAGTATTTGTATGTAGTCACTATTGTGTCATAATTGACATTCAGCTTTTCATCCCATCAAAATTAGGTAACAGAAACAACTGAGCTCCAATTCTTCTCCCCTGCCCCAGGCGTTCATTTTTTCAATGACTTTTAGTTTGCAGGAAGTGCACTTTCGTTCCTGCCAAGTCCCTAAAATCTTGTGATACTTTCAAGTTTGACTGTAATGAAAAGGATTGACTTGAGGAAGTATGTGCACCTTATGGTGAGAGAGGACTGAGCCTATTACGTTGCAAAGGGTGGTGGGCTCTTGACTTAAGCTTCAGCACAACTTATCTACCACACACACAGTTGTGTACTAAAAAATCCAAAGAGCAACCTCCACCAAGATCCCAATATGTATTACTTCAAATAATGACATATGCTCAGGGAGAGCTTGCAGTAATTTTTTAATGTATTTTAAAATCACCTTTAAAAAATGACACATGGAAAAAGAAGAATTTGTTTTATTTCTTTAAATTGCTAGGTAAGATCTGGGAAAAGACTTAAAAAAATGGAACCCAAACTCAGACCCTGGAATGCAAATTAGAAAAAAAAGCCAATACAAAACGTATCTTCATATTTCATTTCCACCTCTTCCATAAAACAAGTCTTGAAACTTAATGAAACTAGTCAGAGAAGTTTTGTAATGCATTTTCTAAGAACACACACCTAGGCTAAACAAAGCAAGAATACAACAGACTTTTGCTTTTACTTCCTGGAATGTAACTCCTTTAGATACAGAAGACAAAAGCAGCTAGTATTACTCCAACTGTGACTAACTGGGGAAAAGCAAAATAAAACAAAAACAATAACCACAGAATCCAGGAGTTACTTATGTCCATCTTTCACACTGAGTCTATTGCAGGCAGGCTGACAACAGCAGAGTTCTACCTGAAACAGGTAGAAGCAGGAAGAGTGTTAAATCAAGGAAGTACACTAGTATTTTAAGTCATGTTATCCAGAAACTTTCAGCATCTCTTACAGTTTTGTGAGAGGAGCAATTAATTTCTCTGTATCAAGTCTGAAGCAGGCATAAGCCTCTCCCATTTACACACCAACCTATTTAACATTAGAAGTCTAACAACTACATGAACTTATTGCTATGCAATTTTAAAGAAAAAGCTTTCTATAAATCAGGAGTTCTGTTTTTTAAAGCCAAGACAGATCATTCCTGTCCAGAGAGATAAACTAGATCACTATATTGCATGAAAAACTCCTTAGGCACAACCTCCCCCCCACCCCCAAAAAAACCCCCAAACCCAAACCCCAAACAGAGAAACCCTCACTTCCCAAAAATGTTGTAAAACATACTCATTTGTTTAGAAGTTCAGAATTTATTAGTGAACAGGCAGGACTGCTGTGTATAAAAGGCTGCAAAATTGTTTTCCTCTGACAGGGTATTTTAAGTTGTCTCCTGGGCTCTCTTGTTGATCAAGTTTCT